TTGGGTACATTGAAATAGCTATTAATAAAAGTGTGTACATAATAAGGCTTACGCTCTCTTATAATTGGCCCAATAGTACTTATGTATGCAGCTATAAAGAACAAACAAACTATGCCACAATAAAGCACTACTGAAAGAATTTAAAAATTGATAATTTTGTTAAACCGCACTTGCCATACCCTTTATCAGGATAGCTAGAAGAATTATCTATCTTGTATAAAATAAATTTTAATGAGGAAAAAATGCAACTCTTGATTATCTAGCAACTTATAGTATACTAAAGTGTTTGAGCTGTTGTTAAGGTATGTAGGAATGGTAAAAGTAATACAACAGAAGGTTTTTTTATTTACTTACTAATACTACATATAGCATCAATCGATGCTTTTCGCCGTCAGAAACAATGAACAAAATGGTACAGTGGTTTAGAACCTGGATTTTCCTATGTCGACCACAATAATTCCTTTTCCCCATTGGGACATTTTGTATAAAACAATAATAGTACTAATTATTAGTGCTTAAAATAAAAATGTAATAACATATTTTTGTCCCAATACCATCACAATCTTGTTTTTGCAAAAATGTACATGAAGTCCTGAACAATATGTGCATACACGTGCAACACGGTTGCATGAAAGGTAGGCGCCTACATTTGACATGAATGCAATATGGTTGCAGTACTTGTTTCGCCTGCTCTACCGATGTAGGCGCTTTCCGTTGCTTGAAGGCGGAGAGAAGTTTTTCAGGTATAGCACCTTTCCAAATAAAAAAAACAAAAAACAAAACAATTAAATGAGCTATGTACAAGTTTTGTTATCATCGATGTTGTGTGTAAGGTTAGTTTAATTTATTATACTATTTATTTACTATCTTATTTACAATATATTACTATCTTATTTATTCATACTTTGAATAGCTGGATAGTTTTGTATGTTTTTGTAATTTATTTACTGGAATAAAAATTTAATTTATTAATTCATCCGTTCATTTATTAATTTGCCTGAACATAATTTTTTTAATGTTTTGTTATTTAGAGTCTTATGATTAAAGTTTATTATTAGAGCTGACAAATATTTAAGCATAACGTATGCAGGTTGTTCAGTATTGACTGAACTCGTTGCTGTAAAAGGTCTTTTAAGTGTACACAATTTGTGATTAGTATTAAAAATCCAAGTCAAATAGAATTGAGTTCTTTAACTCAATGTAAAGTTTAGTACATTGAATGTCCTTTAAAATACAGTACTTTTATAATAATATTGGAACTGGCATGATTTTCGCTAATGTTTCTTAATATTTATAAAAGAAAACAATCGTAAAATATTAAAAAAATAAACAATTATTATTTATCCTGGTGAAATAAATAAAAGAACTGACAGCCATTATGCAAACCCTACTGATTACCGATGAGATATCAACTGTCATGAACTCATTGTTCAAATGGAACTTTAAGCTCTTAATTATAAGGGGGAAAAAGATAAGGCCAACCAAAAATAAATATAAATTCATAGGGATATGTCTCAGAAGCGAACGCAACGGTTTCTCGGAATTAGGGCGTTTGCATTAGAAGTGCAATTGTTTTATAATCTTACTACTGTAATTATTTACAAAAATTCAATCATAAATTGTCAACAATTATATGTGACGCAGTAATTGTACTGACAGATTCCAAACTATATTAAAGATCCTTTAAAACAAACTGGTGAGAACCTATAATTTATGTTTACACTTCATGCACAATGAGATTCTTAAATCATCGAAGAAATAAAGAGTACAACCAGTGACTAAAACAAATCCATTAAGTCTGTTAATGGAGTTGGGATTTGTGTCTAATCCCTATCGCGATAGCTGGGACTTCAGCGATCTAATGGCGGAAATGTTTGTAATAAACACTGATCATGTGACATTAGTTGCTTGCTAGTTTCAGCCAAACGAGGTATTTATTTGGAATTCCTGTGTCTAGAGTCTTTCACGAAATACACTCACTTCTCTAGTAAGTGTTAAGCTAGTGTTTGAAAAAGATGCTGGTACAATATCTAGTGCAATGATAAACTTCATTTGGGAGTTATGTTGACTTGAAGATGACCCTCTGTATTTAAGCCGAAACGTTTATGAAACGTCGAAAGTGGTGTCGCTGTCGTCACCTGAATACTGGGATTCTACAATATACAACCAAATAGGATTCTCTATTACCTACTACTGTTCATTCAAACGGTACAATTTAAACTAAACGAGGGAGTAATTTTTTACCAAACAATTAAAAACACTTCGAATATACAAGTCAATTCCAGATTTAGCACATAATGTGTATGCGAGTTTGGGTAATTTTAAATCGTAGGAAAAAGAATAAATATCGAACATTTTTTGCCAAATAAAGATTATTCCTACAAAAACCTAGGCTGTTAAAAGTTGTTTATTAATTGAAATATAAGTTCCTTTGGTAATATTTAAATGAGAAATAGAAACAAATATAAACGGAATAACCAAACATTCACAGCTTTCAAACGAAGAAAATAAAGCAATTGGAATCGGTTAGTGAGTAACCATGTTTTTACGTATTCCTACTGATTTTGACAAAGTGAGGAATATCAAAATTTCAGTTCAGTCAAAATGGATTATGTGAAAATCAAAGGCGTTCAGTAAAAGGGAAGACCAGTCTTTGTACTTATTCCTACGTTTTTACAGCTCTTTCAATCTTCAAAGTTTTCACTATAATTTCGTCTATTTGGATGAAACTCCTTGATTAAAGGCTTTAAATCTTGTCTGAAAACCACTATATTTAACACCCAATCACCTTTTTATTCACACCTTCTGCCAAAAGTATTACAATTCATAAGTCTTGTAGTAAAAAGGAAGCTTGAATCTTACATAGTTAAAGTTTACCCATTTACACACTAACTAAGCACGCTAGTGTTTCGTTACGGTTTATTTTAATGATGAAAATCACCTGTTTTCATTGTTGCACAATCTAAATGTATACAGAAACAGGCGTTAGTTTGATTTACTGTTTTTTGTTTTTTTTCGCATAGTACGTGTTTGAAATTGCTCAAAATATGTCTAAAATGTCTGATGAATTGATGAAAAAGCTTCAGAGTTAACTAAACACCACCCACCAGAGAAATCACGAGAAAGACATGAAGAGGAATACAGAAAGTTTATGAACTGGTACAAACATAGATAAAACATACTCCCCCAAGGTACAAATCACTAAATCTTAAACCAAATTAAGTAAGTGACGAAGTAGTTATTAATATATTTATCAAAAAATATCTATAATCATGAAACCATATTGTAAAGAGGATTTTCAATTATAAGAGTGGTCTAAAACTATTATAATATTACTAAAGTCTGTTAATCTGTATGTGTGTATTTTTGCGTCTTGAAGAATATTATCGTTCGTAACTTGTACCAAAATGTATTTTCCGGCACTTGCTACATTTTTCCCGCCACCGGATTCGCCTCGTACGTGAAAATAACATTCACAAGCGCGGCTTCGCCTCACACAGGAAACTTGAGCGCGCGCGCTCCGGAAAATGCCACTTTCGGTCCTAGTAATCCGTACTATTTCACACTTTGTCACCTTTCACTGTAGTAGGAAAGGCGGACTTAACATTAGGTAGGTTAAACTCGTAGATAGGGTAATTAGGTAATTGTAGATATTACGTCACTTGAGAACGGAAGGAGTTCCTTTACCTCATGAAACGTAGCTTAGTAAAAACACTTAATGATGAAAAGTTAACTTTACTTTAACTCATTACAAAAACACAATGTTACATTTGTTATAACGAGGACAAAAATACAATCGACCTTGAAGATAATTACTGCCTCAAAGGTACAAGCCATTCAGGTTAGCAGACAGGTAATTGACCGGTTCCCAGATATCTACGAAAGTATAATAAAGCGATTCACTCAATTGATCTGGCTTGGGAACAAACCAATTGTGGTCTCACGTTGGAACAATACACTATAACCATAACTATAACAATACTCATTAATTTAAACTCCCTGATTTTTAACTAGTGCAATATTCAAACCATTTCAACACGAGTGTAATTTTGTGAACCAATTACATTTTGCATTTTTATGTTTTAGATTTTTATGTTAAATCGATGAAACTGTATACTGAGATAAATGGATGCATTTGTCGTTGTCAAACCGTTAATTAACATAGAGAGCTAGTTTCAAAGCTGCATTGCTCCATTTAAGATCTGATTGGTCAAAACTATAGTCATAGTTAACTATAACTATAAAGATGGTTTTGTCAGTTTTGAAAATTGGAAATGTTTATATCTGTGATGAATTCAACAGTGATGTATCTAACCATTTTATTGTAGCCATAATCCTAGAGACAAAAACTACTGTAAATGTAATTCAGGGGTTTTTAGTAAGCTCATTATGCAAGCATAGTTTTATTTCTAATTTCTTAGTATGCTTGATACTCATCTTTTAGTTATGAGAGATTTAGTTTCAAAGGTACCAATGAACCCCCAAAATTATTTGCATGCTGTATACGACTTACTGTTCAAAATGCAATACTATTAGCTGAAGGACTTCTATGCTATTAGTTAGTTCTGATGTAAGTTATTGTGAACTTTAAATCCATATAGTTAATTTATTGTTTGTAGGCAGATAACATAGCAAAATTTAAAAACTCAATTTTTTCGGTAAACTTATTTGTTAATATAGACTTAAGGTAAATTCAAACGATATTTTATAAGGTTTTACAAAAATTACGTCTGAAATCGTTTATGAATAAATAAATAAAAACTGAATCAATTAGCCAACCCTACGATGATTACTTTTGTCAAATTCAAATACAACAAAAACGCTTGCGATGACATTAGAAAAATCAATCACGTTGTACAAGCAACAACAATGACCTAACCTCAAACACCGCCAGGACGACTGGCTGGTGTGGCCGTGTACAGTGCTGCCCCTGTCGGCGCGCCGGCGCAACACGCACTCTGCGCAGCTTCGCCGGGCCAACGTCAGTACACCCAGCGCGCTCGCGGACGTCCTAGCTGTGCGTGTATCAATGAACCTGGATACGGTTTGTGCTTATCTGTGCAGTGGTAGTGTTGTGCCGTGCGTCTGTGTTGTTAAATGCGTAAACTGATAACTGGTTGGGGGCCGGCGACATGGAATCCCAACATCGGGGGTGGATCTACTATCTTCTGTTGTGTCTCACTTATTCATACGGTAAATATGTAGATAGGGAGGTTAGTGGTAATGACGCAGTCGATGTTTTTACTGTAGATATGTTGTTTATGTGTCAACAATGAGTGTGTGTCATATCCATATGATGGAAGTGACTTAGGTTAAGATAAATTGCACTCTTAATTTAATATTGGATTTATCGTGGTATTGATTGTAATCGACAGATAATAATAATATCGAATAAAGGAAGTGTTCTAGAATGATTATGTCAGGTGTTTTGCTTTGAGAGGACACGCCTAACCGAGTCAAAAGGTCGCAGGGTGTGTTTACGTTTGAACTCATGATAAGGTCCGATTGATGTTTTCATACTGTATTCAAACATTTCGTTGTCATTTCGTCATCATTTGTCATTTCGTAGTAAACAATTCTTTAATAATACTACTCGCATTTTTAAATCGATTTCGAACTATCAGAATATAGGCCTAATCAAGGAGGTAAAAATAAAACATGTAGTCTACTCTATTGTAATCGAGGTAAAATTTTTTGCCTACCTTCAATGATAAATTTTATGTTTATTAACATTGTGGTTGATTAATTAATTATATTAAGTAGAATGTTATAAATATTCACCAGAAGAATTCTACGGTACAGTAAAACATTGTGGTTAACGTTGTTTTTGTTTAAAATATAGGATCATAATGTAAGACACATATTTTATGTACACCAACTTTTGAAATATAAATCGTTACAGGCATGTAATCTTTGTATAATGATATGAAAAAATTAAGCGAATCCAAGCATTTTCGAAATTTGATACTAGTTTAGCTGCATTACAACTGCAACAAACAATCTTACAATTTAACAATCTAATAGGTCTAGCAAAATAAGTTAAAAAAGTATTTATCTTTTAATTTCAAATTACTGTAATGTAAAGAATAGCTACCTACTTGTCAGTTTGTATAACGAAACTTGAATAAAGCAGAGTAGTGTGTATGCGTTTCGCTTGATCTATTTATTATTTTATATATTATAATTTATCTTTATTTTTTTAGTCGACGATCAACACAATTTCATTTTTGATTAGGCTACATAATATAACATGCCAAAATTATATTAACTTTAATAAATAATCACGTCAAATTTTCCACCTTAGCTGCCTTGAAACCTTTTACAACGCCCAGTTTTTTACTCTAAATTATAATATTTATATCCCACGTGAGAGAAGCACTTGAAAATCTAGTTTCCAAAATTGAAGCTCTTAAACAACCTTGGCACACCGGATGGTGCTAATGAAATAATAAACGTCCGAAACACATGTCTCCCAAATTACACGCCAAGCCATAAACTTAATGACGATTATATTAAAATGAGCGATCGGTATCTACCGGTTATCCTTGCATAAGCCGTCCGGACTCGAATACAGTGCTTTTGTTTGCCGGCTTTTGTAACAGGAGTAGGATTAAATATTCAAAATGTAGCTAAAGACCAAGACAAAAGATGAAAGATGTACTGTATTGTTGTCAAAGCTCCACTTCACATCTTTTGTTCGGACGCTGGACAAAATATCTCATTTGCTAGAAAACACTCCCCTCGCAGGGGGTGTGAAAAAGTTATGCTATTTAATGTGGGCCATTTGATGTTGGAGATAAAAATTGCTATGGATGTTTCGGCGGAAATTTATAAAAATGTTGTATTGTTTCTTGAAACATGTCGAAATTAGTTTTATTAACACTATTTGTTGATGTCCGAATACAAGGTAATTTAGTCTGGATTACTTAATTCTTTTATAATGATACACTACACATGGATAACATAGACATTTCTTTTGATTGTTTTTGTTCTGATGGTAGCATTATAGGCTTACTTTATTATATTATATTATATTATTGTTATACTAGCCTATTATATGGTTATTGAGCATTCTAAAGAATCAGGCGTTTGAATAAAATTCGCATTAAAAAAATTATTAAATAGGCGTACGGTACAATAAACTATTTTTTCAAGTTTTTTTTTAGAATTTAAAATAATGTTACAGTTTCTAGTTCAATTTTTAAAATATTTATTTCTTGGATGAAGATTATAAGCCAGGATTGGTACGCAACTATGATAGACAGTACTCTAAACATGCAAACACCTCTAGACATTCTCTTGATTTTTATTAGTTTGAAAAATAAAGTTTTATCCAGAACCAGTGTTATTAAAACCATATTGCAAGAACCCATAATATCTATTGAGCATGCATCAAGTCAGGTACCTATTTTTATAATTTTACTAGGGTTACTGCTTTTATTGCAGGATGTTTCTCCTTACAAAATACATGTAAGTTAGCTAATTTTTATGTTCATATAGTTGCCTCTAAATTAATTGTTACATTATTACATTGGGGTTTACGGTACTTTACATATCATTTATTAATTTAATAAGCATTATTGATTTGTTAATTTAAAATAGACCCAGTAGTATTTAATACATGGTTATAAATATGGTAATAGTTTGTAGTTTAATATTTTAAATAAATAGGTAATAAATAACATTTTAAAGTTTAATATTTTTTCTATGCTTAATTAAATAATTTCTAAATTAAGAGTTGAATAATCCCTAACATAAACAAATTTTGGAATTATTCAAAATTCATACTGAAGAAATTAATGATTTACGCCTACTAAAAACCATCGATCTCTATTATTACTACAGCTGTAATAATAATAGAGATCAATGCTAAAAACCCACGTCTTCCCTGTAGCAGCAAACCTATGTACTCGTTGAACAGTGTTATTTAAAAATAGGGAATAAATCTGACATTTTAATTAGGGAATGGTATATTTTAGTATAAATATAATCAGACAAAAGGAAATTCGCTTAGTCTGCAGGTTTGCTGCGGTGGGGGTATTTATTCTTATGATGCAAATAAGATAGATTTAAAAATATACAACTGGTCGTATTTAATCCATACTTTAATCTACTCGCCAAATGTTACTCTTCGTTAATTCTACATAGGACTACATAAGGTCATAGTTAGTTATTTATACGAATTAGTTGGTAGGCTAAAACATAATTTTGCGTGTCAACGGTAAAAACAGTGAATCAGTACGGTTTCAGTGTTTTAGCCCGTTCTTTAATAATTCTTTTTAAGATGACGTCATAATCAGCTGTTCGATTGTTGTATTGTTGTTGTTCAGTTTTCACGTCGTAGTTTGTCTAGTTGTGGATAGAGACGGTCGCGATCGGTCGAATGTTTTGCGCGTTGATTGAACTATATATTGTCGGAATGTTGATTCAACGGTAATGATCAGGTTTGATGACAGCAGGTCAAAGTGGCCTAATATCATCTAATTGTACAGTCTGATTGTACTCATGGTTTGTTCGGTGGTGTGATTGTGACATACGAAACCCAGTAGCATTTTCTGTGTAGCTTTGCTTCTACTTCATGTAAAGGTAAATATTTTTAGTAATATTGTTATTAGGGCATTGTATACCAAGAACGCAATTTATACGATTAGCAATTGTTTTGTTAGTTTTCGTTATGAAAACATGTGTTGGATAAAATTAAGAAATAAGCTGTTTTCTTTTAATAGGTATTTATTTTGTTCATGGCAAGACGAGTAGCCTATTACCGTTTTGAACCACGCCCAATGAGGGCTTGTTTTAGATATTAAATTCAATCAATAGCTATAGTTTCATTTTCAGTTTCTATTAGATTTTTTGGAAACCTTTACAAACTGTAATTTGTCCGAGTCATGTAAGACGCCATTTCGTATTCGTTGTATTTAATTTGTTTATCCTTCAAACGCCAATCAAAATTATTATAGAACATGCACTAGGCACATATGACAATACTGCATTAATTCAATACATACAATAATGATCAATACACAAGCTACAAACTTAAACAGCAAGTTTGAGGTGTTTTAGGGACTCTCTCTTATAAAAATCATAATTAACCTTCAAATAAAAGTCAATTAATGTAATATAAAAGATTTGTGTTTGGATTTAGGCCAAATTAAGCTTAACGGCATAATGTAGCTTTCTTCATCCAACGTAATTTCAACACATAAAACACAAGTTTTTTTCATTTAGATAACTTTGTTATTGTTTTCAAAAAATTAAATGTTTTATATTTTCTAAATGTGACCTTCCATTTTCTAGAAATGTCAAATACAATCTTAGTTTAGGTGTAAAAAATATTTGTAACCACGTCCCCCGTTACTAAAGCATGTTTCATTGTAAATCAATTTATTTTAAATTCAATTGCAAAAATAAACGTTTCGAAATATCCCTTTGTACAGTTCGTCAGTCAATTTGTAACACATTTCTCTGCACCAACCACAAAGCGCCGGTGTAGATACTGTTACATAATGAGCCAACTGTAAATCAAAGGCAGATAGTTGATATCAGCAGGTATTATTCCACCATCCCGTTGTATTATCTATGTTCAGATACCATTAAAATGGTAATCCAGTCGGTGTTTGTATTCTGTTCGGTTCACGTTGCTGTGCGCTATTCAATATTCAAGTACTTCATGCTGTAGTCTAGGATATTTATGTCATGTCCATATTGTTAAATGTTTATTTATGGTTTGAAAATTCAAACATACAGGCGCCAAATAGTTTTAAACTCATTAACAATCCAAATGATGTTGAATGATTTCGAAATGTAGTGGATGGTTTTCAATTGTTGTTGATCCACTTGTGTTAATAATTTTTTAATTAGTAACCGTACAGTTTATGGTACGGATATTTCTCAAAGTATTCCTAAATCAGAAGTGTCGTTTGGCATGTGTTTCATAATTGTTGCCGTTACCGTGAAACAAACCTTAACCAGAGATCAAGCAACTTGTGAACTTGTGAAAAGATTTTATTTTATTGTGAAACAGTCTAAGCTAAATCTTAGTAAAAACTAGAAATGAAATTGTTTACGTAAAATTACGCACTACTGACCATAATTTGAAACAGTTTAATCGGCGATAAAAAAATAGCCATTAATCGGTGATACAAAACATATGTGAGGTTTAATTATTAATAAAAAAATATGTAACTATGCTC